CAAGGATAATTTGAGACAAAAACTATCTTAATGAGGAGAAGAATCTGCTTAGGTTGGTTCAAAGATTGGAGTTTTTCCTTGATGAGGAAAACTCTTGACAGTGATGATGGACAAAAAGGAGAAACACCCGGGGATTGTGGACTTTTCCCCAAACAGTGCAATATATTTATGCTAATTTTCACACTTCAAACATAAGATGATAGAGAGAATCATGGTCAAATCATTTTGTTTCAAAATGTATCTGTCTCAAATTCTCAAAATTGATTTGTCTCCATTTGTCCATGTCTCAAGAAGTTTTAATCTCAAATCATTGTCCCTGTCTCAAAAAGTTTGTGTCTCAAACTGGCACTGTCTCAAATTTTCTGTCTTAAATCTTGATTTGTCCTAGATCCATCAGAAATGATGGTATTTTTATACATTCATGTGTTCTGTGATTTGTTTTCTGGACTTTAACTGCAGTAAAATCATGCTACATCAAAATCGCAGGGACTTCAGAAAGATTTGTTCTACTGAATAATTTGATTTAAGAAGATTTTAAAAATAAATTACTAGAACAAATTTCAAGATTGATCTGCATGTATTAAGTATTTAGATGTTCTGTCTTTTCAGTTTGTTTACTATAGTTCTTGACATATCCTGTACTCAGTAATAAATATTCTGAATCAATTGTTTTTTGAGTATGTTAAAAAAAGGTCACATGTGCACACTGAGAAAATTTTTGAGCTTCTCAACAAAAGTACTGTATAATCCTGGGCATTTTCTCTTTGAAATACTGAAGTGTACACATGGGAATACTGTAATGAATGAATGAATGAACAGAAAGCTTTATTTCCGCTTTTCACTGTACTGTAATTATGTTCATTTTAAAAACTTGATTTAACCCATTCCCAAGTGGGGAGCAATTCTTTGTGTGACCCCACAACTGGTGCACACCAGGGTTAAAACTGGTGCACATGGGCTATTCTGGGGTTACAAGCATGCACCTCTGTAGATGAAATTTTGCTACCATTCAAGGGCTACATTTGGTGCACAAATGCCATGACACAACACGAGTATCTCACAAATGCACCAATTGTAACCTTGGTGTAACTTATTTGTTTACAAATGTGACCCTGAGTAATCCTGATCCCTCGGGCCAAGTACAGCTCGCCGTCCCGGATGGTGTCCCTGGGGCCGGACCCCGAGGCCGATGTCGTCGTGTCGGAAAGAGCCCTGATGACCATGCTCGACACTGGCAGAACACAGGTCAGTACGCTGTACAGTACTGTATAAGCATCAAAGTTTCCCCCCGGGTTATTCTGATTCTATTGTATCTCTGGAAAAATATCTGGAGATTTCAAATTGCAGCTGATTAAAATGCATAACTCAGCTTCTAACATTGTTTTGATTGGACATTTTATTCCCACCTGTATTGCTGCACATCGCATTTCTTTTCTCTCAATTTTGATTTACAAAAATGTTCCCATGGTACTCTAGTAAATATATGGCACATTAAAGCTACATCTATCATAAAGATGTATCGAAACAATAGCTACCAATTAAATACTGTGCATTGAAGCGACATCTACCATGAAAATACAGTGAAACAATATGCACTGTGGCAGTAACATAAATTGCAGTGACATCTTCCATAAAAATACTGCATATTGAAGTGGCATATCTCCCATTAAAAAATTGATTGAAGCTACATTTGTGCAACAAAGATTATTTTGCAGCAACATCTACCATTAAACAAGAGAGGAAATAGCTGTCCTGAAAAAAAAACAGTTGAATTGAATGAATATACAGTGAGAACCCAAGATGCAGATGTAATTGGTGTATCAAGAGTGTCCTTAAGTTGAAATGTTCCCAAGTTGAGTCTCAGTTTCCCTTAGACTTACATCATATAATTTTTAACTGGTGTTTTATGGACAAAACACTCACCATAATTCCATGCAAATAAAAATTGTCTCCCAATTCAAACTGATTCAATCAATATATTTCAACATTATATGGACATTTGGGGAATTTAATCCTGATACCTCTGTATAGTGCATAGAAATTTTGGCATTCTCTGTCAAATTAATGTTCAAGTGAAAAAGAGAGAAGGAAGTTCCTATACGCTGGAGGTAATATTTTAAATTAGCTACATGGATGGTGAATTGGTGAGAGAAATGCCCAAGAACTTTTCTTAAATCAATTTTAGGGTTGGAAATATCTGTTTATTGTAATTTGGCCTGAAACTTATTTACAATTTTATCACAAAATATCCCTATATGTTGCGCCTAGAATGAGAGGCTATGCACAATTGTAAGCTAATGGTCAAATAACTCCAAATTTAATGGTTGGGTGCCCTCAGCTAGGTCACTGAGTATGCACCAGAGTTGATTGGATGATGGTGGAAGTGGTCAGGTCAAGTATTTGTTCAGACCGGAGGACCAGGGACATCAGTTATGAGGTTGTCAGTAAGGCAAGACCTGCACAAAGTTGCTGCTCACTTTCTGCCAAAGACTAACTAGTATGGAGAATGCAACAAACTCCATTGAATCTGTTATCCACACTTTTATTCACAGTCCTGACAGAAAATAAACTTAAGTGCTTGCGAGACAAGCGCGCGTGTGCAAACAAATTAACATAAATGTGAATATGCGAATATGAATATGGTTTGCCTGCAACACAAAGACAAGTACATGGTCAAAAGTGAAACAGGACAGTACAAAATATACATCAGAATACATTCCCCACAATTGGGGAGCAACTCAGAACCACCCTTCCCCAACAGAGCTCAGAGATGACTGGTTCTAAACCAGGAGGAAATCCTGAGTCAAGNGCTTTATTACGGAACGGGTGTCCCGGAACGGGCCCCATGACGGAACGGGTGTCCCGGAACGGGCCCTGTTCAGTAACATCAGAATTAGCCCAAAACGCAAAATTTTGATTTCTAGCTTCAAAAATGGGGTTTTAGGTCAAGGAAAATAACTGCCTGCCTATCAAACAATTTCAAATACAATTTCTACAGTCTCAGAGGATATTTTAAGGTGCAGCTTCAACACCTATATGTCTAGTGATCTAGTCAGTGTCCTCATGTCAGGCCTTATTTACTAATTTTTTCTGGGAAAATAAGTGTCCCTATGTCGAATTGTCTGCATGTCAAGGTGTCCACATGTGGGGGTCTCACTATATTTTAATGTTTTCTTCTGTTCTCAGAGTGTGAAGAGCTTCAAAGGTTCAACCAGGTCAGCTGCCACTTCAATCGCTGAAAGCCATGGACGTGGACGCCGAGAATTCAGGGACATGCGTCGTGGCTCGGAAGGTGCGCGTCACGCAATTTTTATTTCATTTCCTTTTTGAAAAAAAAAAACTTGAAATTACATTGAAAAAAAAAAGATCAGAGAGCACAAATTAATTGCTTTTGTACATGCTCGTTGTTCTTAATAGGAGCTTTGATGGCAGCAGCCGGCTCGATCCTGGTGGCAACTTCTGCAGTGCGCAGCAAATCCTCGGGGCGACGACCATCTGAATATTCCCGGGGTTCGGGCTATGGTGACAGGTAAATTGAAAAATTTGTTTTTAAATAAAATATTATACGTGGGTTTTCCCAGTTGGAAGCAATCGTCGATATTTTTAGACTAGGTGTGATTGTAATAAAAAATGTATATTTATTTGAAAAAAATCATGAAATAGCTCATGATGCTCCAAGGTTCTGGAATTTTTTCGGATTTTTAAAAGAGGTTTTCTCGCTATTGGATGAGTGGAAACTTTCCAGTTCTCCGCCCGCTGTCACAGGGTTATACTGTACACTTGTACAGTAGTCTGAAACATTTTCAGGGTGGAATTCGTTGATTTGTTCCATCCATTATCTTGAAACGAAAAATTTCAAGCTTTATTTTTTAGCTATCATGAAGCATTTCATGTTGGAGCACAGTGAAAAAGAATATTTGGACAATCAGCATTCCATTGTAATGTACTGTACTTTTAAAATTCACGTCAAGAAGCAAATCGACCAGAAAGTTCAGGTTTGTTAATAAAAAAAAAAAAAACGTTTGAACTCGGTATTGTTCTTCTGTTCGGACGTGAATTGAAGGTTTTCTTATTTATGCATTCATGCGTAATTTTTTCCTCTTCTTTGGAAAGTTCTGTTTTGAAAAAAAAAGATCGTCCAATTATCATCATATCTTGTCATGCAATGAAGAACCTCTGTCGAGCGATGCTGAAATTAATGTTCAGTCATCATTTGCGGGAAGAGGGAGCGAAAAAAAAGGCTGATTTGTCTAGAAGAATATCATATGATGGCTATATACCCTACTCGTATATTTGAAAAAAGATTCAATTGAAAAATGTTGATGGGGTGCTTTTCGTTTGTTTAGAATTTAAAATGTTTCTTCGATTTAATTTCAGGGCCATGTCCGAAGCTCGTTCGTACGACGAGACGACGGTGAGGAACATGACTCGTCATCCGGAGAGTTACTACTCGACTTCTAGGCCGCAATCGACGCAATTCTTCAGCGAGGTTTCAATTTTTCTCTGGCTTATGAAATCATTTTCGTGGACTTCGGAATTTTTTTGCATGCATTAGCGAATGAATATTCACGTGTAATGGTATTAATGGTACATTACTGTATTTTCAGGACGGACGAACAATGGCTGAGCGCGAAGACGGATCCAGTGTCTGGATTCCTCAATCTCGACTTTACAGACTCGCTCCCGTAAGCAATTATCTTCTGTAAATTCTGCTTGAAATACAGTAAAATTTTGTTCAAACACAATAATATATACAGGTGAACCTTGAAAACTCGAACCTCCCTAAGTCAAATACCCTCCTAAGTTGAATTTGTTTCAGATCCCTTCTTAATCCCCTTAGAAACAATACATAAAAAACCAAACTAAGTCGAAGGCTTTTCCCCTTAAACCTCTGTAAGTCAAATTTTCTGTGGCCTGTTGGCAATGATTTTCTTTACACAAGAAATAAAAAGCAAATTCTTAAAAATTGTTGTGCCTGAAAAGGAAGTGAAATACTTGATTGAGCAAATGAACCCCTGCCAACAAGTTCAGCATCCTTTCAAATCATTTAAGAAGCAATTTAAGCCCCCAGAATACCACCATTTACAATTTTGGGCTATTTTTCTATGCTTCCCAGAACATAAGAGCAATGTGTTGTATCTCAAACCTCTGTAAGTCAAAATCTCCCTGAAGCAAATGTTTTTGCTGGTCCCTTGAAATATGACTTATAGAGAGGTTCAACTGTACCATTACAACAAAATTTCCAGCAAACTATTCCTGAATAATTCTTTGCAGAAAGCCCATACTTGAGCAAATTTTCAAACATTTTTGCTGTATTGTTCAAGTATTGTATAAAAAACTTCTTTCAGAAAATTTCATACAGTACATTCTCCTCATATAAATTTCCTGACTATAGGGAGGCACTGTCTAAGATTTATAATCTCAATACAGGCAGTACCTTGCAATTCAACCCTACTCTGTTCCTGGACTAGGGTAAAATGGCAAAGCAGTCAAATTGCAAGACAATGTCAAATGGCATGTTTTCTATACAGTACATGGCATTTGATATTTCATGTCTCTCCACTGGTCAAATTGCAAGGCAGAGGTCGAATTGAGAGTCAATCTCCCAGAAAATTTGGTCATTGAATTGAGGGATGGTCAAATTGCTGGAGGTTGCATTGCGAGGTACCACCTGTAACTGCAACTAACATAATTCTTGTTTAATGAATGGAAGCTGTATAATCAATTGCAAACATTCTTTTAATAAGTGGTTCCACACATCATCCTACCAGAATGAAGAGATTGGGGCAACTGATGGAATGCATTATTGAAGCTATAATTATTTTCAGAAGATCATTTAGTTTTTAAAACAATAATACAAGTCTGTATATGTCAGAAAAGCAAATTGATTATAGGCAGGTCATGCATGAAATTTTTTCCAGTCATCAATTTTGGAAATCTCATTATAACAAACTATTCAGAATAACAACCTGAATTTTCTCAAGTCCCCAAAAGCTTGCTGTAATGCGATTCTGCATTGCATACATTTTCATCAAAGTTTTAAAATCTGTGAAAAAGAAGTGTTGAAAGATTGTTTTTGATGAAATTGGCCCTTGAAAATTGAATTTAAAACCATGAATGTTTTTTCCTCCGCGAAAAGGGAAATTAATTCTTTTCGGTTTATTTTTGTATGAATAATCATCCGCAATTTTTATATTTGAAATTTTTCTTTTACAGGATAGTGACCTGGGATCGGAAACAAGTTCCAGAACACGAGACATGCGCAGTAGCAAAATTTCCAGCTCTCCACCGCATTAAATAAATCGCGAAAACGCATTTCTTTCCCGGTTTACTCGGTTTAGCGAAATTTGCTATCAACCTCGATCGGGAAACACGACAGCAAAAAAAAAAATTTTCCGTTTTCTCGGCGAAAAAATGCCAACCGTCCAAGAACCGAAAAGACCATTTTATTTTTGCGAGCTACCAATAAAAAAAAAATCGAAAGAACGACGAGAGAAGAAGACATAACCTATTTTTGAGGGGGGTTTCAAATCGTATAGACGTTTTTAAATATTTTTTTTTTCGTATCGTTCAAATCGGTGCTTGGTGCGTTCCAGTCATCAAAAGTTTTTGTATTTTTGATTTTGTTGATTTTGTTTTTAACTCAAACCTTCCTCCGACTTCGGCTGCCTAAAAAATATATACATCGTTCTTTTATTGTTTTTTCTCCCTTGTCGTAGTTCGTGTAGTTTGGAGTAGAAATGGGGGGAAAAAGTATTTGAAAAAGACGGACACAATATTTTTTTTGTGTGTGTTGACTATATTTTTGCGTCGGAATTCGTATTTCAGTTTTGGCGTTTTTTTCCTGTTGAAAGGCTTGTGACCTTATGCCGTGTCGTTAATTTATGACGTCTTGCTCAAAAAGAAAAAACGAAAGATAGAGAGAGAGAGAAAAATGAATATTTCTTCTCGGAACATTCGAAACTGGTGCAGCTGAGTTCGGGAAATTTGTCTAGAATGGTATTCTACTTGTTTTCTTCGCATATGAGGAATTTTAGCAAACGGAAAGTTAAAAAAAAAAACGCGAGGGTGCCATTTTGAAAAAATTGAAAAGACGCGATGTCGAAGTAGTTCTTTTTTTTGTGTGTAGAGACGAGCGGCAGGAGGGGAAAGAAAAAGCTGCTCGAAAAGCTATTTTTTGCATGGAAAGAATTATACGGTAACTATACAAGAAAGGAAAAATGTTGCTCCAAAACAAAACGGATGTGATTCGACGCGAGATTTTTCCGTTTTACATTATGTAAAAAGTGTAGCGCGTGTGGAGTGAAAAATGTTGAAGTGGTGGCAATAATTGAGGGGATGCTGATGATGAGTGAGTTGAGAATACCTTTTTTTTTTGCGTGTTGGACAGAGGCCGAGTGTTTTTGGCGTTTTACCTCTCAGTGGTCTGTGAAAAAGAGCAAAGAATTAAGCGAGAGAACAATTTTAACGAGTTGCTGGGAACAACACGAGCTGCCTTGCTATTGAAATAAATGCCGGCATCAGCGTGGAATTATTTATTTATTTTATTTGAGAACAATGAACGTGTCCTTGACTAATTTTCATGATAATTCGTTGCTGATTTCAACTGCTTGAAAATACATCCAGCCTCCAAGCAGCTTTAATTTATATTAAGATTACACTCCCCATTTATAGCTTCAAAAAGGAAGAAATCATCCTCTCTCTTGGATGTTCTCTGAGAACAGTGAGGAGTGAGGACTTCAGATTTTATCATCACTGTTTTGCTGAAAAGAAACAATCACACAACACAATCAGCAAATAAAATCAATGAGAACTCCTTGATAAAACCATAGTTTTCACAGGCAGCAAAAATACTTGTAGTGCCAGAGAAAACTTTTTGCGCATGATGCAATCATAAGTATGTCTAATGATTCATTAGTTCAATGAATTTTTATGTGATCTCAAAAATTTAGGAAAAATCTTTGCCTTCAATGTAAGACCTTGTAAAAATCTTTATATTAAACATTGGATGAGCTATGTGCTTTGGTATGATGCAAAAATACTTGAAGTGAAGGTGAAGGTTAAAAGAAAGCTTTATTTTCTGCTTTTCAGCATTCACAAGGTTCAATCACTACAGTTGCTGCTATTTTAGCACATGTGAAACACTGTGGGTAACTTATTTCACCATCAAGAGAAAAATGCATGCCTCATAAGTCATTTCCATAATTAAATGAAAAACTTGTCTTCAAACACATAAGTATGGGTGTATATATTTCTCAGGAATAGTGTTAGATCAAATAATATGTCAGTGTAAGTAAGCAATGCATTTGAAATTTCAATATCTTTGAACTTTAATGTTGGACACATTTTCTTGCATAATATTTCCAAATTTAAAAATTGATTGCAATGTCACACACACGCATCACAAATTAGAGTGCTGTCCAAATCGCCTTCTCAAATATTTTGCAAACTGCTGATACCTTTAAATCTTCAATGCAAACCAGGACTAAAGTATTTACTGCCCTTTTTATATCATGGGCAAAGCTGTGGAACAAGTGCTCCCCTTCTTCCAGCATAAAGCCAGCAACTTCCCAGGTTTTCTGTGGAGCTCTGGCTTCGATTCAAATGAGCAAAAGAGTCGCATTCAGGATTTTTTGCACAAAGAATTGCACAGTCGGCCGGAGTTGCAGCATTGGCGATTTCACCGGGCGCAAGAAGACCTTCCCTCTGAATTTGGCCTTTGGGTGGTTCACATGGCTGATTCATTCCTAAAGAAAAATCAACGCTAGTCAAGATTAATGTTCAAATGCAATACAGTACATGGACGCTTACAGTATTTGATTTGTTACGAATTTCTTTGGAATTGGTCATGGGACAATAAACTGGCATATTTATTGACAAACTCACACGGTTCAACAACTCATCAAATATGCAGAAACTGAAATATTTTTTTGTTTCTCATTTCCACGATTTTCCCTTTTCTTTTGCTGACAAGGATTGAATGATTCCTTCAAGAAATTAAACTAAAAGTGATCCATCAATCATTTTGTATGGCACATTTATCTATGTGAATTACTGAAATATATTAATCACCCCAAATGTAAGATTCAAGTGGCGCCCCTCATTACTGTAATATTCAATCATAGCTTTGATTTCATTAGTCTTCTAGAACTATGTGCATTTAAACAAAATGGAATTTTCAGAAAATACTTGAAATGGGAGTTGACCAGGCTGAGGTTTTGATGATGACAAGGAGTTTGAGGGCATTCCAATTTTGGGTTCCAATGTCTGTATTCCAAGCAGAGTATCCCAACCCTGGAATAAACTGACCAGGGTAGAAGACATTAGTAGACAAGAAGCAATTTTGAGTTTATTATTGAAACATTCTTTGAAATTGAATCAGCATCTGTGATACAATTATTGACTTTTTGGAATGTGTGATGAATGGGTCCTCAACATATTTATGAGTGCCCTGAAGTATGAACAATATGACTAAAGGCACTTTTAACTTGAACAATCTGCACAAAAATCTGGACAATGTCTCAACCTATGGCGTTTCTTTTATTTTCCAAAAAAATATTTTCTGAATTTGTATGCCTTCTGAAAAATCTGACCTACTAATATGGAAATAAATTTACTCAAATTCAATTTCCAAAATGATTTCAGGGGCTTTTCCATCAACTGTGCACATTACTGCATTATATCAATATGAGTGCTGACTTTATTCTCCTTGTTGACTACTCTCTGTGCCAATAGGGCATATCATTGGTGTTATTCTTCTGCACAGTTGCTTTCTGCATTCTTCCAATTTGTAAAACATTTTTTCTAAAATTCTTGGAAGTTTAAAAAAATGTCATCAAGCATGATAAATGATTTTAAATGTTCACATTGAAGTCTAAGTGACAATAGTACATATAACATGTTTTCCAGACTTCCCACACAGTCTGAGAAGGAATTGTGTCCACCTCTTAGCTGCAGGGCTGCACTTTTCAGGTGTCAAGCACTTTGAAATGTCTATAAAAAATATGCAGACATTTTACAAACAAAAGAATGTTTATGGCTCTATGACAACTACAGTACAGTAATCACAATAAAAGGAAGAGAAGAAGAAAGTAAAGACAACAAACCCTGAATTGACAGCTGATGGATGACTTTAACCCTTTGGCAGCCAGGGGCTTTATTCCATTGTGGGTAAAATTTAGAGGTTATGCATTGTGTGGGATTTCATTTTTGTACAAGGCTATGAATACCTACTTAACCATCAATTGGGGAATATCAAAGTTGGTCTTTTTCGGTAAAATTGCTGTAGCTGTTATTGTTGGAAAGAAATTAGTAATAGTCTAAAATACAATAGGATTAAATGGGCGCCAGGAAAACGGCTATGCTTCGAGGGCTCGGTAAGAATTCGTCCTCGGTCAAATTGGTCCTCGTCCCAGGCCGGGGTAGAAATGGGCCTCGGGACAATTCGTCTTCGCCGGGGGAGGCGGGGCTACTGGCAGGGGTACTCGCGGGGGTGAGGCGGGATGGGATACCCGCCCTCCATATAGTAAGGGTGCCCCCTCACATCTTCGAGCGTCATCTATCGGCGAGATCCATTACTGACCATTCATCCCACCCATAATTGTGTTATCTTGCACATGATCTGAAGGCGCGTAGCGGGGGGGGGGGTGACTTGGGAGATGGCTTGGCGTTACTTTGCTCTGAACACTTGACTTGTGATCATCTCTTTTATCATCTGACATTATTTATTATGACCTGGTGCTGTGAGATTATATGACGTGTTATTAGACTCTGAGTGGCGCCAAGGAAGATAAAAAATAAATGCATTTACGGTAAGATGTAACCCAATAGGAAGTCCAATATACAGAGGTCGTATGAGGATTGATGCAGCCTGGGAAATGTGATAATACGAATAAATCTTGACGCAGCCCATGATGTTTCATAAAATGCCGTATAATAAAATATTACATTTCAATCGCAAGGGTGAAGTGAAAGGGTATTCAAATTACTCCAACAAGAAAGCAGGTTTTTTCAAATTTCTACATCAAATTTAAATAAATTGTCAGCAACTTTTTTGCTGATATGCAAGAAAATATTGTTTGAAATCAGACAATGCAAAAACAAAGTGCACTTAATGTAGGAAGGAAAATCAGTGAACTGCTATGATGACCCATGCCTAAATGAAATTGGAAAAAACTTTTTTCTAATTCCATGCCTTTTGGAATATTGGTAGTTTGCACTCATGCATGTTGGTTTGGGCCCTGTGCAAGGGATAGAAAAAGAAGGGTCAGTCAAGTCTGAGTTTTTTAGGAAGATTTGCTGCTGAAAGATATGTGATGCGCATTTGGCCATTACTAAATGATACAACACAGGGGAAAAATAAAGGAAATATGAAATTCATTCATGTCACCGTAAATATATTTATTTTTGATCTTCCTTGGCGCCACTCAGAAACAGTGGGCAAGACCCAATCTAACCAACAATATTTCAAAATTTGCTATCAGCTACTGTACTTCAAAAACCCCANACAGTGGGCAAGACCCAATCTAACCAACAATATTTCAAAATTTGCTATCAGCTACTGTACTTCAAAAACCCCATGAAATTTCCCGGATTGTGGATGTGTGCCAAATTCCTTGTGTGAAGTAAGCATAAAATAAATTTCTTGGCAGATTTGGGTTATCTATAATAGGTTTCACAAAATGTAACCAAAATAGAAAAAAAATACAATTGCATCCATTAATTGTCCATCCTTTGTCAGATACAAAAAAATACAGGTGTTGAAGTCATTGTCTGATTTCAAATTCCTGCGAGGCATATGCGATTTCAAATTCGTGCAAGGCATATGCGCACTCCTCCTGTCTGCAGGAAGACTGACCAGCATATAATAAGGATTTGTCTGTCAGAGTAAGACTTCGACACACATTTTCTAATAACACGTCATATAATCTCACAGCGCCAGGTCATAATAAATAATGTCAGATGATAAAAGAGATGATCACAAGTCAAGTGTTCAGAGCAAAGTAACGCCAAGCCGTCTCCCAAGTCACCCCCTGCTATGCGCCTTCAGATCATGCGCGAGATAACGCATTATGGGTGGGATGAATGGTCGGTAATGGATCTCGCCGATAGATGACGCTCGAAGATGTGAGGGGGCACCCTTGCTATATGGAGGGCGGGTATCCCATCCCGCCTCACCCCCGCGAGTACCCCTGCCAGTAGCCCCGCCTCCCCCGGCGAAGACGAATTGTCCCGAGGCCCATTTCTACCCAGTCACCAGGACAAATTCTACCAAGGAGGATTTCTTCGAGGACGAATTCTACCGGAACGGCTTTGAGAGGGTTGGAAACCAGTGGGATTGCACTCAACCTGGAGTTCCCACAAGATTTGGGATTCTCGGGGAAATCCTTCTGAAGGATAAAGCTCAGGGACAAAATTGTAATAGAAAGAAAAACATTTAAATAGTGGAATATTTTTGCATACAATCATCAGTTGCCACTGTGTTGTCTTACGCAAAAGACTGTCTGTTAAACTGCTGTTTGAATTCAATCC